GTCTCTAAGGTGCCACAAGTACTCCTGTTCTTTTTGCATATAACTTGTGCAAATCAAATACAAATTAGGCTCAAGGCTATAAATTCTGAACAGCCCTATGGGGTATGACACACTCATAAAAGGAATACCAAGTGTTCTGCCCTAGTAGCACTGATCTGTGTGTGTGTTTTTTGGTGATAGTAATGCAGCTAATGGATGTTTCATTGGCTGACTATTGTCATGTAGTCTACTGCTGTGAGCTTGTCTAAATCAGTGGTTCTCAACCAGGGGTACACATACCCCTGGGAGTACACACAGGTCTTCCAGGGGGTACATCAACTCATCTAGATATTTGCCTAGTTTTACGACAGGCTACATAACAAGCACTAGCAAAGTCAGTACAAACTACAATTTCATACAGACAATGACTTGTTTATAGTATACACTGAAATGTAAGTACACCATTTATATTCCAGTTACTTTTTCATTTTACCATATAATTATAAAATAAATCAAGCAATATTTCAGTAACAGTGTGCTGTGGCACTTTTGCATTTTGATTTCTGATTTTGTAAGCAAGTAGTTTTTAAGTGAGGTGTAACTTGGGGGTATGCAAGACAAATCAAACTCCTGAAAGGGGTGCAGTAGTCTGGAAAGGTTAAGAGCCACTGGTCTAAATGAACACTTAGTTCATGGCAAGCTGGGATGTAAATGAAGGCCACGCTTGCATACGGCATGCTAAGTGTCCATGTGGCCCCAGCTGCTGTGCACTGGAAGTTCCTTAGTGCACTTTGATCTACACCACTTTGAAAGAGAGTAGATTAAAGTGCACTAGGGAACTTCTAGTGTCCAGCAGTAGTGTCCACATGGGTACTTAGTATGCTCTACAGTAGTGCAGTGTAAATTTACAGCCAGCTTGCCACAAATTATGTTCCTGTAGATAAGCCCTGAGAGCATGGAGAAGAATTTGAATTAGTCTCTCCAGTTTAGAGAATGTTCCATCTCTATTGTTCAGGTAGCTGAATTACCATTATGTAGCAAGCCATTGTTTCTTCTGTTTCAGTGGCTAATACTTGACGTTTCAGGAGTAGCTAAGGGTTTGTCTACACTGGCACTTTGTCGGCAAAACTTTTGTCGTTTGGGGGTGTTAAAAAAACACACCCCCGAACGACAAAAGTTTTACAGATGAAAAGTGCCAGTGTGAACAGCACTTTGTCTGCAAGAGCACTCTCTTGCCCCTCGTGGGGGGTGGAAGTTTTCTATCGGCAGAAGAGCTCTCACCTGCCGACAAACAGTAGCTACACTGTGTGCCTTTTAGCGGCATGGCTGTAGCGGCACAGCCGTGTCACTAAAAACCTCATAGTGTAGCCATAGCCTACAAAACTTTCCAGCTAAGTAATGGTAGCTGAAAGCAATGGCTTTGACCTCTTTTACTAGTTTAGTACTCTTGTTTCCATTTGGAAGAAGAGAACATTATTACAACTTCTGATTTACTGGGGCTTGTTTTCAGGCGAAACTCACACTTGCAAAGTAGGTGTGAAAACTTTTGAGCACATTTCTTTCTGCATTACTGGGTGTGTTTTGAAACCAGCTCCTGGTATAATAAACATGCTTCTCATCAGACACCTTGCAGTTTGGGCTCCTGGACTCAAAAGCCCTATGTCCAGTGGAGGCTGGATTTGTGTGTCTGACCCCACTGCAGATAAGATCTAGCATCTGTGTCCTGACAGGCCTAGTTAAAAATATATTACAGTTCCATTCACTAGTTTGTAAATTCCTTTGTCAAAATATCTAAACAGAACCCATACTGAAGTAGCTCAGATGTTTTCTGAAAATTCATTTCACCATTTGCTCGGTTGAATGAATCCTCTCCAGCATTTACTGCTCTCAAATGTGCAATGTGTTTGGTAAAATGAACTTTTAACCAACCTAAATGTTCTTTAAATGCCTTGCTTTTTTCAGTGAACTAACCCCACTAACTGTTATATTCTCATTGCTTTACCTTGGCTCACCTTTATCTTTCCTTCCATCTCTTGCTGTCATGCTTCTGAATGCCTGAGCAGACGGCGTCATCAGACCGCCGAGGAGAGTGGGAGATCCAACCAAGCCGGCAGACAAATACCTCGTACCTGACATCTCACTTGGCTGCAGACCGTCATGGGGGATCAGTACAGGTATTACCTCTTCCTGACCTGCACAGCTTTGCCATCAGAATCTGCTTAAAATTCCTGAAGCCTCATTAATCTCAGCTACAATATTCCTGTGATCAGGAGAACTGTGTGCATTCAGAAGCAACTGTGCTTTTTGGGTGCTCTTCACAAAGCAGACAAGCCCTGTCCTGCAGTAGCTTAATGCTTAAACTATAGTCTCATGACACCCAAGAGGACCAATGACTGGTCAACTGCGCTTACTGCTACAGTCCCTGCAATATCTTTCTACCAGGAATTATTTAAAATAAGATATATGGAGTGATCTACCAAAACTTGATTGTCAGATAAACGGTTAACCACAGTTTAGTATATGAAGAAATACTATTCCTGTTTACACTTGTAACTAGCGGAGAGAATACGGAATGGGATTGTGTACTGACTATACAATCCTCCAAAATGATGTAATTAAGCTATAAGACAATTTGATGTGTTACTGACAATTGACATAAACCTAAGTGGGTTGTTGCATACAAGCACAAAAGTGCTAGGAAAAAGTTACTGCTCTTCTAGTTCAGTTTTTATATGTAGACTGAGGGCTGGTCCACACTAACCCCCCAGTTCGAACTAAGATACGCAACTTCAGCTACGTGAATAACGTAGCTGAAGTCGAAGTACCTTAGTTCGAACTTAAAGGTACTTACCAAAGGTCCACACGCGGCAGGCAGGCTCCCCCGTCGACTCCGCCTACTCCTCTCACGGAGCAGGAGTACCGGCGTCGACGGCGAGCACTTCCGGGATCGATCCCAGAAGATCGATTGCTTACCGCCGAACCCGGAGGTAAGTATAGATGTACCCTGTGTGTGAGCAGATGGTTGAATGCATCTTATGAGATATATCCAGGGGGGGCATCACTGGGTTGAGTGTAGTGATGCACTGTAGAATGGCTAGTGGGAGGAAGAGGTACAGTTACTTTTCCCCTCAGATTGATGAGAGAAGCACATTAAAATGCTGTCACTAATGGCATTGATGCTACATTGAGGTTCTGTTGACATTGTATTTCTCCAGCTCCCCAATGTATTACCTCATAATTGTTTGTTTGTATTTGAGAAGCAGCCTAAGGTCTCAGTCAGGGTTGGGGCCCAGTTGTGCTAAGTGTAAGCTCTATGGGGCAGGAGCCCTGGCTGTTTCAGAGATAGGATGTAACAAGCGACGTAATAGTGGTAATGAAGGTGGAATGAGTAACAGTAGTAAACACTATAAAGGTTAACATTATGCACAACTCCTTAGTTCCAAATCAGCTGAAAAGAGTTTTCTTTTTCATAAATCAGCTGTCTCTTACTGCCTTCCAGCCTAGCTAAGAGTAGCTTTATTACACTAGTAACAGCGAGGAACTGATGTGTAGAAGTGAATGTGAGATTTCTTCCATAGTGTGTGCCAGAACTGGAGGGAGTGAGAGAGGTCTGAGCCTTTGAGGAATTGAGCCCTGTTACTTTTTGAAAATTATTCAGAAGCATTATACACATCGCACAGTGAACTAGTTTGTTTTTAATTCACTCTGATATAGGGAGGGTGTTTTACAAAAGTGCTATTTGAATATTCAGTCATAAAGGATTGATCTGCTGGTCTGTGGATCTGCATACTGTTTTTCTCCCTCCTTCCTTCTAGGTAGGTACTATGTGCACCACAGAGTAAACACTTAGCAAAAGCCAAATACATTTCTTCTACACACACGGTTATGATTATGCCATACGGAATCCTTTGCATCCTCCTTCAGGAGGTACTTTAAAGGTGTTGCTTCTTACCAGCCAAAATAGCACATAAGGTCTCTGACTGGCTGAAGAATGATTGAGGTGAAGTCATTTCATAGAGCTCTCAGAACTCTGTAGAATCCCAATTGAAAGTGCAAACTACAGACTCTACTGAGAGAGTAACATCACCAGTAAATTAATCATTGCTTATGGGAGTCTCCTCCTGGGTGGGATGGTACTGTTCTCCATGTGCAGGTCCTAGCCAGACTGGCCATGAGGTGACTCTTACACTATATGGCATGCTTACAAGCCCCCTTTATAGGTGCGCACTAAGAGATCTAGAAACTTTCAAGCCTCCCAAGAACTTCTGTGTGGAAAGACTGCATGCAACTTTAATACCAGTTCTTGCTGAGGTATAAATCTTTGCTGCTGATAGTTGGCTAGATTCAAGGGACTCTTGTGTTTTTTTTATAGTCCAGCATGTTAGTGGGTCTTTTCACATAGAGAATTCTCTGGGCACCTGAGACATTGAAAACTGGGATGAGGAATTTGTGTCTGCAGGATATCTGTGACTCTGTTCTACATTGACTCAGCATTTGTCTAAACAAGGAAAATTTATAGACACATATTATACCACTACAGCTATACCGATGGTATACCCTGGGTGGACACTCTTATTTCAGAATAAAAGTGCCATTTTCCAGTTTAGTTTATCTGTGAAAGTGATATAAGCTAAACTGAAAAAAGGCACTTTTATTCTGAAATAAGTGTGTCCACAGGAGGCATTATACCAGTATAGCTATACTGGTATAATTGTACCAATATAGTTATGCCAGTAAGTTTCCCTGTGTAGGCAACCCCTTAGTCACTGCAGCCTCTAAATCTCTGCAGAGACTTCCTCCATCATGTGGCAAACCCTTAAATCTCTACTTGATTTCAATTAAATCTCAGGACAAACTTCCTAATTGTAAGAACAGTAGGACAATGGAACAGACCGCCTTGGGAGATTATGGAAGCTCCTTCGCTGGAGGTTTTCAAAAGTAGGCTGGATAGCCATGTGTTGTGGATGATTTCGACTCAACAAATCCTGCATCTTTCCGGGGGTTAGACTAGATGACCCTTGCGATCCCTTCTAACCCTGTGATTCTACATTCAACCTGTTAGTGGAAATCAGAGCTGCTCCGCTGTGCCCATAAGCATCATTTATGGAAGCAGCTAGTCTCATTCCTGTATCATGGCCACCTAAAGAGTTCCTCAACTGATGCCTGGCTATCTCTGGGTCTTCTAGGGGTCAGTTTTTGAACAGTAGCTGTTTTTTCTGAAAGGAATTTGCCATCTGTGACATCGTAAATTGTTACTGGGTAAAAAATGAAGAGAGAACCCAAGCCCATTGAGAAGTTAGGCTTAATGGAAAGGCCCTAGGCCTGGTCTATGCTATAAAGTTAGGTTGACGTAAGCTGCCTTGCATCAACCTAGTTGACACTTAAATTTGTCTCTCACCAATATAGGCTTCCCTTTACGCCGACATAGTAACACCACCTCTCTAAGCAGCGTTGAGCCATAGTTGACTTATTGAGGTTGATGTAGCTTGAATGTAGATGCTGCATTATCTGGGTCGACCCTAAAAGTCCTCTAGCAGCTGTTCCACAATGTCCGGCACTGACTACTCTGGGCACAATTGTGAACTTCACTGCCCAGGAGTCACGGAGATCAGGAAGCCCCCAGCCCCACCCTTTAAAGCCCTGCAGATTTTTAAAATGCCTTTTCCTGATTGTCCAGCTTGGCAAGCACATCTAGCAGCTCTCCACTTTTGTGTTCAACTGCCCAGCTGACCATGCTGGCTACATTCTCCAGACATGCTCTGGTTTGAAGTAGAGAGGAGATATTGGATCTCCTGGGTCTGTGGGGAGAAGAGGCTGTGCAAGCACAGCTATGGACCAGCTGTAGAAACATGGACATCTCTGAGCAGATTGCACGAGGAATACAGGAGAAGGAATATAACAGGGGTCAGCAGCAGTGCCATGTGAAAGCAAAGGAGCAGTGGCAGGCATACCAGAAGGTCAGGGAGGCCTTTGATCCAGAGCGAAGCACAGACCTGCCACATTTACGAAGAATATAACGCCATACTTGACAGAAACCCCACCGCCACCCCACACGCCACCATGGATACTTCTGAGGAGCCCGAGTCACAGGCCCCTGACGTGAACAGCGAGGACAAGAAGGAGGAGGATGGGGGACATGCGGCTGAGGGGTCTAGTTATGCTGTGACCCAAGACCTGTTTCTGACTCCACTGCAGTCAGGCCAGTCCTGGCAGTCAAGCAGGGGCGAGCCCGATGAAGGGAAAGGAAAAGTGTGTAAATTTATTTCCCATTACTCTGCTGGAACCCCCAACTTAGTAGGACACAGCTATCAACTTTTCATTAATTTACTGGTACTAGAAGAGGCAACAAAACAATTAAGCCGGGTACCGTTATCTGCTTTTCATTCCTTTGTACAGTTAGGCAGGGGACCATGCAGTGCAGTTTATGTATCTAGTGATGTCCCTTGAATCCTCCTAAGAGATTTCACTGAAACTTTCATGGAGGTCCTCTGCAATCCTCTCCAGCAGTTTTCTAGGGATGGCAGCCTTATTTCTTCCTCCACGGTAGGACGGTTTCCCACACCAGTCAACGATAACTTCAGCAGACACCATTGCAATACACAGGCTAGCAGTACACAGGCTGGGGCGGCTTCAGGACGCCAGCAGCAGCTGTGTTCTCTGTGCCTTTGTTACCCTCAGGAGTGTGATATCAGCTAAAATCACCACCACCTGTGGAAAAGGTGCCAGTATTCAGTGCCAGTGTCCTGTTGTTCATCATTTCATGCAACCAAGCAATTCCTTCCTCATTTCCCTTACCCCTGGCAGGCCATAGTCACCATGGTAGGATCTGTGCGTGGCGCTGTGCACAAGCACTCCGAAGCAGAGGTGTCAATAAGCATGTCTTGTTTAAAACTTCAGGCATGCACAGGAAGGGAGTTCTGTATCTTAACCTTCGCTTTTTGTTGTGACTTTAGAACTGTTGGAAATGGGTGACATCCACCTTGATTGCATTGGCCTCATTAGCACTACAAAAGTAATTTTCCCTCCCTTGATATTCACCCCTTATTGTCAACTGTTGAGAATAGACCACTTCCACCTTAATTGAATTAGCCTCATTAGCACTGACCCCCCCACACACACTTGGTAAGGAAATTCTCATCTTTTCATGTGCTGTAATATTTATACTGCTTTCTGTGTTTTTCACTCCATGCATCTGATGAAGTGGGTTTTAGCCCACAAAAGCTTATGCCCAAATAAATGTGTTAGTCTCTAAGGTGCCACAAGGATTCCTCGTTGTTTTTGGAACCTCTGTGTTTTATCTGTAGTTGCTGCCATTGCAGCCTTCAGGGAATCCCCTCCACACTTTCAGAATGCCTGAGTCAGATAAGGAGGAGAAAGAAGAGGACTCGGATGACATATTCAGCAAGATCCTGCAAGTCAGTGCTGCACTAGGCTGTCAGCAGAGGACCTGGAGGATGAATGTTGCAGACAGCCTGGAGAAAGAAAGAGCTGACAGGAGAAAGGCCTGGGAGTCAAAGAAAGTTGCACCAGTTTATAATGGGGCTTCTGCTGCAAACACAGATAATCCAGGCGCCTGTGAATCTACAGTTTCAACAGTCCCAGGCTTGCCTCCCTTGGCAGTCCATGGAGAACACCAGTATAGTATCTCGCTATACCCCTTCAATATTTCACATGGCGTCAGGGACCACATCCCTACCCCTGCTATGGCACATCAGGGGACAGTAAAGATAACGAAGCTTCACATACACTGACCTGTGAGAGCCACGGATGATGTGTGTGTAACCAAAATAGACACAAATGTTCCTTTCCTTTCGTTAAATTCTGTTACATTAAAATCTTACTAAATTTATTAATTTGCTTTTAACGTGCACAGAAGTTTTGAAGTGCGTTGGTTACTCAATAAAACTCTATTGTTTGGAAAATAATTCATCTTTATTAGTTCCCAACATATGTTGCAGAATGACTGGTGGTATCAAAGGCGTCCACTTACTTTTACACTGTGACACAACTCACAGGGTCAGTGACAAACACAGCGTAATAATCATAAATGTACAGCAAGCATCACAGCAGTAATCAGTGCTTTGTCAGTGTTCTGTTCATAGGTGTGCACCAAGCACCACACAATTCCTAAGAGGCCCCAAATTTCAGGCCTAGGTAGTGCACAGTCCACCACAACTGTGGCTTGCCGTTAAAGTGCTCTTTCAAAGCCTTCCTGAGCCATGTAGCTGCACACTGAGCTGTTACGATAGCCCTTGCATTAGGCTATTCAAACTCAGCAGACAGCTGCTCCACCTCTACCCCAGCAGCAACTTTTCCCCTTTGCCTCACAGATATTGTGCAGGACACAACAGGCAGCTATAGCCAGTGGGATATTTTTCTCACAGAGATCCAGTCTTTTGAGTAAGCCATGCCATCCTCCTTTCAGTCTACCAAAAGTGCATTCAACTGTCATTCGGCACCTGCTGAGCCAATAGTTGAATCTTTCCATGGTGCTGTCCAAGTGGCTAGTGTACAGCTTCATGAGCCAGGGGGATAGCTCAGTGGTTTGAGCATTGGCCTTCTAAACCTAGGGTTGTGAGTTCAATCCTTGAGGGGGCCATTTAGGGATCTGGGGCAAAATAATCTCTCAGGGACAGTACTTGGTCCTGCTGTGAAGGCAAGGGTCTGAACTCGATGACCTTTCAAGCTCCCTTCCAGTTCTACATTTCTATGATAACAGGAGATGATTAATGGGCTTGCACATTTGCATGAAAATGGCCCTACAGTGGCTTTTCCAACTCCACCGTGGCAGGTTTCCACAGTGCCATCATCACTCACTTCTCCACTGTCAGTGCAGCTCTCATTTCGGTGTCTCTGTGCTGCAGGGGTGGGGCGGGTTTGGCACGTAGATCCTTGCACATCTGAGAGTTCTGCAGCCATCATCCCAAGCCTACGTTACATGTGATTCCACCAGCCAGTGCCCAGTTCTTGGGCCCAGAAGTGGTATTCCACTGTTTGCAGCTGCTCCTTGAGCACCACCAACAATCTTGAATTGGTTCTCACTATGTCCCACAGCAATCTGACCTCCAGGAAATCATCATGTTTCCCGTGGCTCTTCTTGCGCCTGCAAATACTGAAGGATCAGTATGTCCTGTGCTTGCAACACTCATGGCAAAAGTACAGAGTTGTGCAAGCTGCATGCTTCTCTCACAGATGGCAGTCAGTGATGAGTCACGCATGAGTTCATGGGATTTTCAAAATAGGTGCAAAAATTATGGGATAGAGGTGACATTTTGGGGTGGAGAAAGTTGCATGATGAGAACTTGACCCCCTTGCTCCCAGTCACTGCTGCGCAACTCATTTCTGGCCCACCATGCATTGCCAAAACTTCCAAAAAAAAAGACAGTGCACTGAAAGGTGGCAAGTTGCCCAGTGGGATGCTGCATTGCATGGTACACCGCACTGTGCTTTGACACAAGCACTCCTGGTGAATACGTGCGGTGACAACGCAAGTGCCAAGTATGCACCTGCACAAGCAAGATGCTAACTTGCTAACTGTGGTGGCTTTATGTCAATGTCGCTTGCATCAGCAAAAGTTTGTCGTGTAGACATGCCCCTAGAAATTACAACTAGGGGATGGCCCTGCTGACTTCAATTAACATTAAAAATTTTATTAAGATGTTAAAAAAAAAAAAAAAAAAGTGAACAGAGTTTGAGCATAGAAGTTTCTGGTTATCAGGGAATAACGTACAGATAAGGGTGCAAAGTTTGGTTTAAGATCAGGTGGCATAAGGAATACATAATCTGCAATATCCCCGATTGGGGGTAAAGGGTTAACCTTAGCAAAATCTTCCGGGGCACGGGGGGGCTGAGGCCCTACATAAATCAGCTCATTGCAGAGTAGCAGCAGAAGAGGCAACACTAGCGAAGGTGTAAACAGCACCAGGGTCAACAGCTGAGGAGAAGCAACACTTGGGAAAGGTACTGAATTTGGAAGTGTTTGGGCACAGGCTGGGTGGGGCCAGCCACCCTATAAACGTTTCCCAGAGAGAAAAAGGACACTTGGGGCACACACAACATGGAGAACTTACAGGGAAATGGGTATCTATATGGATAAAATAAATACCAAGCCACCTTTAAGAACTGCTACAACTTTGGCTTCCCTCTCCCCCGCTCCAGTATTTCTGGTGCTCAGGTCATCCTAGCCCAACAGGGAGTACCTGGTAACACCATGAGTCCTGACATCTGACAGCAGCGTAGGCCATACTGCTTCCCAGACTTAGTTATCACCATTACAACTTCAGTCTCTAACTCTTCCTAAATGTGGGATAATAGCAAGTGATATGCATGGTACTTTGTCTTTGCCTTCTAACAGGGTAATAGGAGTGGGAGCAACCATACATCATTCACCACTTGGCCAGGATGTGCAGTCACTTCAAGAATCTGCAGTTGTAAAGGTTTTCAGTAGTACTCAAGAGTCCCTGGTGCTTTCCAGATGAGTGTGGAAGGCCAACCAGAGTAGCTACAGTCTGGTCTTCAGTGAACCTGTTCCATAGTCATTGTCATCATAGTTGCAGTTGCTGTAGTATGGTGACTGAGTTTCTCAGAACCTCCTCCTTCTTCGCCTGGCTACAGTATCTCGGACTCTTAGGAGCTGGAGAACTGGGTGCTTTAAAACCACCAATGGTGAGAATTGTTGAGCAGCCTATGATGTGAATTATATTGAGGGAAATGGAAATTAGGGTTCAAGTGCACACCTTGCCACAAGAAAATTATTTTAAGCAAAATAATTCACTTCTTTGAGGAAAATGAGGTAGAGTATGTTCCCAAATCAGTTCCTCTGCCATCAGTGGCAGTGACTAGGGCGGAGGAGTTACTGACACTCAGGCTACTAGTGGACCATATTCAGGTGGTGCCTCTATCAGTTTGGTATCCAAGTGCTAAGGAATCCATTTTGCCTCCACAAGTTATCTTGTTACCTAGTGTCAAAACACTTAGACCTATTTTGTGTTGAGCTCTTCAGCTGTTTCCCAGCTGCTGGGAGTCAAAAGCTTGGGACTCAGACGTTGGTGACTTTAGAAAAATCTGCTGTAAAAGTGTTGGAGGAAAATATTCAGCAGAAATGTCCCATATAACCAGATGTTACAAGGGTGGAAGTAGGAGTCATGGGATGAAACGAAGAAAAATTAGTTTGAATATAAGAGACAGATTGTGGCACGGCCTCCCAAAGGAAGTGGTGGAAGTCCCATCATTTGATCCATTAAAACAAGCACGGTGGAGAACGTATTGTAGAGAACAGGCCTACTTTGGCACTCAATCACTGTTGTGGGAAGTCTCATTGAATTCTACAGACTTCTAGGAGGGTGTACCGTGGCCAGGAGGAAGGCATCAACAGTAGAAAGTGCCTTGTACTCATGCTGTAGGTTTTACATGTTCTTCCTACAGCATCCATTGTCAGGACAAGCCTATCACTCAATTGTGAGCTGCTGACTAACCCAGCCAAGAGACTTCATTCCTAGCTGCTTTTGTTTTGTGTTTCAGGTGGTCAGTTCGACCAATGGAGAACTAAATGTTGACGACCCAACAGGGGCACACTCCAATGCACCAATCACAGCACAGGCCGAGGTGGAAGTGGTGGAGGAAGCTAAGTATGTTTGCTTTACAAATAGGCTCTTCACTGATGTGGTTTTAAATCCTCTGTATTTGAAAGGAGTGAGATTTTTACCTGTTTAAATATTTGATGCTTGTATCCATAACTTTTCCTTGAATATCGCTGCTTTTTGCATGGTACCTCAGTGTTGCTGCTGCCTCTTTTCTCTGTGATGCCTGGAGAATGAAACTTTTGGCCAGAGCATGCGTTGCAAACGAGATGATGGTAAACAATAATTGGAAAATGGAATGTGTGACTCCTGGTGCATCTTCTCTGATCTGGAGGTGTCTCCTCTGCTCCTGCTGTGTGCACAGCCCTGGGTCAGTGAAGGAATTGTCAATCTAGCAACATTGTATTCCTACCTGTGAGAGCTAGGGGCCATGTAGGCAGAGTGGTCTGAAAATAGCCCTTGCAGGGCTTTTGCCATGAATCTTCCCTGATCCAGTCCAGTAGGTGCTGAAAGAGGCTGAAACTGTAAATAGCCCTTCTGCTGGTGAGGCTACTAAATCTCCCTTCGAGCTGCCAGCGTGGGGTAGCAGGATGTTCCATCCATAGCTTGTCAGGAAATGGGGCAGGGGCCGGGAATTGCTGTCTTGGCCATTGTGCTTCTCTTGCATGTGTGCTGCCCTCCGGCACCACTGGGTGGCACTTTGCATGATCTTTGTTAAACAGGAGCTAGGACTGGAGCCTGCTGTCCACATGAGCAGCAGCCCAGCTCCTGCCCCCTCCTCTGAACCAGGAAGGGCTTTGAACCCCGCTGAGTCACTGGCAGGGGGTTGAAGGCTCAGTCATGGCATGACAAAATTGACTTCCCCCATAGAGGGCTGAATGGCTCGAAGGCTGCCTTTGAACTGGCTCATGTGCCGGGAATTGCTCCATGATCTGGGCCAGAGGTGACGGGGGGGGGGTAGGGGGGGAACATGCAGGGTCACATGCCCCCTAGATTTGCTGCTTGGCATGTACTGAGCATGCTCAGTAACACTGCCCTCACTCTGCCTCTCACTACTGGCAGGCACAGGTCATCTCTGATCTGGGCCACAATGTGGCTCAGTGGAATTCTTATTGCTTGGCAGGCATTGTGTTTCTTGGCCTTTTTTGGGGTGGGGGGAGTCTTTTGCTGGAAATGGATTGAAGGAGGATAAGAAACTGCCAGTCCTGGGTCAGAAAGGCTTGAGGTGCAAAGTATCTGTCAAGCTGGCTTCAACACTGAGCACCAGTCTCACCCCTGAGAGTGGCTCTTTGTCATCATCCATTCCTGTGCCCCTTGGAAATCACTTCCACAGTGCCCATCTCACCATTGACCCATGTGGGTAGTGAGCTACAATAATCATCTTGCAGTGAGGAGCCCTAGTAACATCTCTGTGTTCCCTTCCCAGCCAGGGGATGCAAGAGCTGAAGGGCTCTGTGCATCCTGTAAGCTGGGCACCTACAAAAGGGCAGCTTGCGGTGTTGGCCACTGCCCAGTATGGACAGTGCAGCCAATAGGGACTACAGGTCCTAGCTGTCTTGATCGGAATGACTATGCTGCATTGCTTGCTGGGACGTGTAGTCCGTGGGCTGCACCTCTAGTAGAGCACAGTGGCTGCAGTCCAGTTATGCAAATTCCATAGATCTGGCCTTCAGCCTCCTGATGATTTGCCAACACAGCCCTCAGCTGTGCACAGTTTGGGCCCCACCCCAACTTATGGCCAGCTGTAAGAAAGGATCAGCAAGAGTCCCTTTGGGGCAGGGACTGTCTTTTTGTTCTGTGTCTGTACAGCACCTAGCACAGCGGGGGCCTGGGCCATCACTGGGGCTCCTCGGTGCCACCACAGTACAAATAATCAATATATCCTATTAGCCTGTCTTGGCATCAGCACTTATTTGCTTTATTGTGAGGAGGGACAACAGTTAGGAGTCAGTTTCCCCTTTGCAGTCCCCAGGTTTGTGTTTTGAGTCTCTTTTTGGTGATCATGTGGCATTCCAGTGGGGACTGTCTTGTACTGGCTGATCTAGTCATGATTACCCTGTGTAGACTACTGGGTTCCTGTTAATAAGCGAGATGTCCCCTCATCTTTCCCTGCAAGTTGTCTCTGTCACACAAGTCCAAACTTGTCTTCCCTTCAGTTATCTGAATACGTCAGGAGGCTGGAGGTCTTGTGGACACAGGCAACCAGAAATGTGCTCCCAGTTGGCCTAGTGCTACTGCTCTGTAGTAAGGTGGGCCACTCAGAGGGAGGGCCAGGGCTAGCTGGATTGCCTGGCTCCCTGCCAGTTTTTGAGGTAGTGTGCTGGGAAAAGTGGAGCAGTGTCTCACCTCCCTGCATCTGTAGGCAGGCAGGGAGAGCCAGGGCAAATGCTGCAGACTCCGCTTGTGCTGGTGGTGTAAGTGAATGAAGGGGCTCCCCCTCCCCAGCGGCTGTGGTCAACATGTCCTCTCATCCATGCCATAAGCCACCTGCACACAGCCCTTGTCTGACTGTCTGTGGTTTGGATCCCCTTCCTGGTGGGCCAGCCACAGACTTCCCTGATGGCATACTCCTTGTTGACACTCTGATGTCCTGGTATGTTTGTCCCAGGCCACAGGACAGTGAAAACACATCCTACTTCTCAGCAGTGACTTGTCAGGGTATCTCTTGCAATGAGCAGTGAGGCCTCAGGTGGAATAGGGAATAGAGAGGGTGGGTGGGCAAGGCATATGTGTCTGCCAATCTGCACTGCATGTTTGCATGCCTCGCAGTGACATGCTTTCATCCCACCTCTGTGAACTAATTGCTCTTTCTTCCTTTCTGTGTTTTTCTCTCTACACACTCTGTAGCTGCCTGAAAATGCTCAACTTGTGGTGAGTCCCTCTCTCCAGTCCCCGGGCAAGGGGGAGCGGACCAGACTAGACTGGGATTGGCAAAATCAAACTAACCAAAACTGTCTAATAGCTGCACAAGTTAGAAATCCAACCCAGTGCAGTTACTGCAAATACAAGGGTGGGGAACACATGCAGGATGGGCGTGTGTGTGTGAGAGGAGGCCGCAGTAGGCCAACCAATTGAACTAATATTTGGACTGTTCCATTGAAAGCTAAAAAGAATTCTCATCCTTTATCTGTTCAGCTTAATGTATTCACCAAACATGCAAGTGTATGAGCAGATAATGTCTAAAGGAGTTGGGCAGAGTCCGGACCAGGCTGAAAAATCTCTCATGGGAATTCCTCACAACAGATGGTTCTGCATGGAAAGCTGTGTACACCATGCCAGTCTCCTGGGAGCTGTGTGCTTGTGGCTCCTTCCATGGAAGACTTGCTTATATGAAAGTGAGCAGGGCAGGGTTCCCATCAACAGATGCGGTGGTCGAGAGCCATGGTCCTCAACCTCTTCCATATTGGGACCTCCTGTCTCCTAGCTGGGACCTTCCTCTCATTTGGCAATCTGGGAAGGGCAGGGTGATCATGGCCCACAGGCTGAGAACCCCTGATCTTGCTCCAGGTTGGTGGGGAGTAGGTGGTTGCCTTCAAGAAAGTTTCTGCAGCTCAAGGACTGGGGAGAAAAACCAGGGTTTTCATCTAAAAGGGCACACAGGCTGGAGTAGCTGCTTTCTGAGCCTGCTGTTGGTGTTATGCTCTTCCCCTTTATCACCATTATCCTTGAGTTCCAGTGGGGACCCTAAATAGTAACACTCAGCACTTTTATAGTATGGAGTGCTTTCCGAGCACTAGCTAAACTTTAATCCTCAGGACACCCCTTTGAGGGGGACATGACCCCCTGGTTTTACAGATGGGAAAATTGAGGCGCAGAAGTGAAGTGAGTTGTCTTAGATAATATAGAAGATCAGTGGCACAGCCAAGGATAAAATCCAGGAGTTCCAGACTCGCAGTCCACTCGTTCATCTTGCCTCACAGTGGATTTTGAGGGAGCCCATGTTCAGCAACAGACACAGCAGTAGAATATAGGGAGTTTAAACCTCACGGCCCCATGTGTGGTGAAGAATGTCCCTGCATGGTGGCAGACTGGTCCTTCTCTGCCCTCCTCTCCACTGGCACTGCCTCCAGTATCTCTGGCATCTCTTTGGCTTCTCTGTGTGTCGTGCTCTGGGGCTGTTCTTAGACATTGTCTGCACGCACAAAGGTCACATTCTGTATAATTGTCAGCCTGTCTTACTCTTTTTTATTTTGTCGTTTCTGCCTCTGCCTGTGTTAACAACTCTCAGGACTTCCTTTCCTGAACCCTTCCAAACTGAGCAACGGGGCCCTCTGTCTGAGCAACGGGGGCCAAAAGAGAGCAAAGGAATTGCCAGGGAAAGAGATGGCTAAAAAGAGCAGCTAGAAATCAGTCAGGCCCTTGAAATCTGGGGCAGTGAGTGAATCTTGGACCTGGTTCTCCTTCCCTGATCAGATACGTGTGTTTGGTAATCCCTCAAACGTACTCCTGTCCTGTTTCTCCCCATGACAGTTCCCTTCTCCTTTTACTGGTCCCTGAGTCCTGAAGGAAGGTGGTTACTGTGGGAGGAAAACAGAGTGGTACTGGGTAGTTAAAATGAGTGAGGGCATATGGGTGGCTCAGGACATTGGTGGAAATTCTCTACCCTGTGTTATGCAGGAGATCAAATGAGATGTCCCTTCTGGCCTTCCAACTTATAAACCTCTAGGTCTCTCATTCAAAACCAGCTTAGGGTGGTAGTGACCAAAGTCATTACCATCTAATGGCTATCCAGGGCCTATATGAAATCATCCATTTGCTAGTGACAGGATATTCATGTCACATGTTCAACACCCCCACCTCCATAACTAACCTTCCCGTAGGAAATCTCTGGAGGGAAGCTAAGGATAAGCCATGGAGACTGAACTGCCCATCACCCTTAGAGGTGATTGCTGCTGGCTAGGGCTGAGACACACAGGTGGGCATGGTGTATGTACACTTGCCTTCTTGTTGCCATCTCTGTATCTGCTCATGGCTATATAGAGGGTATCGCTCTCCCGGGCTGCCAGTCTAGCACCTCTCACTAGCAGTAAATGTGCTTACTAAGGAGATTAAGTAGTTATCCTCATTTTCAATCACCTGTAATTGGGGTGAGACAGGAGAGGGCATGCACTCCTCAGGGGCAGTAGTGTATATTTCAGCTCTCAGCTAAATACCCATATTAAAAGCTTGTTTAGAGCCGCCACTGACCCAATAGAAAATGAGTCTGCCTGCAGATGCTGCTGCGTTCTGTGGCATAGCTTCTCAATGTCTTTGCTCCTGTGTACTTGTTAGAGGTACTTGCATGAAAACAGGACTTTTGCATACCTCTCCACCTGCTCCTTATTCTTCTCCTCCCTCCTCAAAGGCCATAACCCTAATATCACAACTGGTCACTGAGGAAATGGTTGTGATGTCATGGGGAAGAGGATAAGCAGCACAGGAGCAGATGAACTTGCAAAGTACAAAGATCTTTCCATGCAGATGTTCCTGACACTAGAACCTGAATACAGAGTTGTCTTTAAGGGTACGTCTTCACTACGGGGGGGGGTCGATTTAAGATACGCAAATTCAGCTACGCGAATAGCGTAGCTGAGTTCGACGTATCGCAGCCAACTTACCCCGCTGTAGGGACAGTGGCAAAATCGAGGTCGATTTCTACCCGCCGATTCAGGCGGGTAGTGTAGACCTAGCCTCAATGCCAAGTAATTCCTGAAGAACCAGCTGGAGCTGACAGAGTGGGTGACTCATTTTAGTATACCCCACAAACAAAACCTCCATCTTTCAAGGATCAGCTTTGAAGAGTGTTTATTTCACACCACCTCGATCTCCATTATGCTATCTTTTTGCCTCCCTGTTCACTGTGCACTGATAGCCTTCCCTGCCCCAGATCAGGGAAGAAGTAGGGGTTGTATGTTTGTAGATTAAACTATTGGTCTTTAAACTGAAACTCTGATTACTTACCATCAGTCAAGGGTTCAGTAAAGGAAGCTGGCCCCCAGTCAGACCTTTTCAGAACTAGTCCTTTTCAGCTTACCATGAGCAGTTTAGAAACACAGCACATCATGTGATTGGAAATATTTAGTCAGGCCTGACTCAAACCATTCCAGCACCTTTTAGGGCACAGTTGATTAGTAGTTTTGGGCAGAGGGAAACAGCCTGTTAGTGTATCTCACCTGTTTCCTTCACTCCCAGCAACTGGAGATCCCTGTTCTGCTGCAAGACTTCATCTGCCTCTCATATTGGCTATTGTTGTGCCTTATTTCCTTGTTCCCAATTAAGCTCCTTGGGGCAGGGACCTTGGCTTCATACAGCATCTGGCACAGCCAGTTCCTGATCCTGAGCATGGCCTTTGGGCATCAGCAAAACATAAATAATAATGATCAGTTGAACCCCCTCTTCCATAAGAGCAAATCCCAGTATGTGAAAGCACCTGGCTACCTGCCTTTATAGTGATCCATTGGCCCTTGTCTGAGCACAATACTGCTGCCCCTTCTATTGTGGGCTAGACTGGTCTGCTGTTGGCCTTGTGGACTTTCCTCCTATTGGAGGAGGTATTGGTAGGTCTGTTTTGTCCTTAGTGCTGGACATGTTGAGATCTCATTGCATGTACTCTGAATGAAGGGAAGAAGCCCACCCTGTGCAGTTCATGGAAGGCGGGGGGCCGGGGGGGCTGCTGGAGGATCTAGTCCACTCTACTGACTTGCTGTGTTCTTTGTGCTCCAGGTGCTGCTGCTTCTTTAAGAGGAAAAGGAAGAAGACTGCCCAGCGTCACAAATGACCGGTGCCTCCTGGAGACTTGTGGGAACACCACCTGCAGCTCCTGCCATGTCTTACTGAAAGGAGCTTCTCTCTAGGGGGAGGAGAAACAAGTGACATTTTAAACCAAAAAGAGAAGAAAATTGTTCCAAAACAAACCGCTCTGGGGTGGATCTGCTCCATGGTCTACTCATTCACTCCAAGCCTGAAGCTCTTTTTGGGATCAGGACTGCAGCTGGCTTAGGCCTTGGTTGCCCAGTGGGCAGGTGGGCTGGCTGGCTGACCCTCCTTCCCATTGTTTACGGCAGAAGGCATCATTCACACAAACCTGAGAACTATGCTTTGTTTCCTGCTCACTTTACTCCCCCTCACACTCTCTCTGCCCACCCATCCATCCTCCTCCCTCCCCAATGGAAATACCCCTGGTAGGCTTCTTTGGCTAAGGGGAGGGTGATAGGTGGTTGTCTGGGCAGGAAAGACATGTAGGAGAAGGGCCTGGTGGTTATGAGGCAATTTCTCCCCAAAGTCCCTTTCAGCGTCAGCCTGTACTGCCAGCCTGGCCAGGTACAGCAGTGGGACACAGGCTCGCTCCTAGGTTCCTTGGGAACAGTTATACTGTAGCGTGAGACTTGCAATCTACTGTTCCAGTCCCTTGGGTTCTCTGGCTTCCTTGTTCGCTCCCTTCTCCAACTGGTAACAGAGCAGTGCGGATTGTTTTAAAGAAACTGACATTGTTGCACTTTTTATTATTTTTTAGCATTGCAGATGCATATTGTGTCTGTAGATTTTCGCATGGACAAGTGATGCCAGCACAGACAGACATTCAGCTTGGAATGTGGAGGGGTGCAAAGAATGTCCTCAACAGAGGGTTTGCTTGCAACATCCAGAAAACCCTAAAGCTAGTCTGGGGTTCCTATCACCCATTGTTGGTCATGCGCTGAGAGAAACCTACTTGAATTTTGAATCACCCTTTGTAGCTGCCAGTGAATGTCCCTACCATGGTTTCCTACTTGGTGCCTGACATAACCAGCCTGGAGTTGGAAGGCACTAGCTTTCTGTTGGAGCAGGGAGAGGGAGCAGGGAGAGGCATCAGCCTTGCTGAGCTGGAGGAGTTTTCTCTGGGTAGACAAGCAGATATGGATTACATAACTGGAAACCTGATGTTTCCCAAACTGTAGATATTTTGTATGGCAGGGTGGCCTTCTAACCTTCTCAGATGGTTTCTAGGAGGTTGATTATGGAGTAAGCACCTTTCTTTCAATTTACTGAATGCTCTACAATGGAAATGTTAGAGAGCGCAAAGCTACCCCAGCAAGGAGTGGACACGTAACTGCCTTACAGTGACTGCATCTGCAGGTGGCCAGATAGGCTACTCAGATAAGACCTTGTGTAGGCTTCAGGTGCGCTGTGCAAGCTGCCTAGGCCTGAGTGCAGGCACAGAGCTCTGTCTGTGGGGCCTGGAGCACACACCATGGAGTTCTCCCTGTAGTGGGAGCTAAGGTCTTTTTAACACACCATTCTTGAGCCAAACCATTATTTAGCAAAGGGCTTAGGGCCCTTTGCACATGAACTCTCATATCCCAGTGTAGGGATTACTGAGCTCTGAGGAGGCAGCTGCGGTTACTCCTGGGTGGGTGTGGCAAAGGTTTACAAGAGCTAAAGAAGCTTTTTTGTGGAGGCTAGGAATTGGTTCCTCGTGCTTTGCCTGTTTGCATATTACATCAGCATGGGATTAGACCCCTCATTTCAGGGGCTGTAGTTGTTGTGTAGCTAGGGCTCTCCCACCCCAGGGCTTGAATTCTCTACAGAGGCAGAGCACGGAGGCTTTAATATACCATCTCTTCCAGCTGCCTCTGAGTGCGTGTAGTGGCATGCACTGAAAGGGAAGCGATGGGAGTGCTGGGAAGGAGTGTTTGTTTCAAGGGTGGGCAGAGACTCCCTCCCCCTTCAGGCAGAGCAGCAAGAAGGCAGGCGAGCCCTCTGCTGCAGTTCAATGGTTAGGATTTGTAGAGTGAAACTTAGGGTTACCATAATCCAGCAAGCAAAAAAGAGGACGGGAGGAGCCCCGCCCCATCCTGCCCTAGCCCCGCCCCTGCCCCTCCCACTTCCCCCCCCTCAGAACCCCCAACCCTCCCCCTGCTCCTTGTCCCCTGACTGCACCCTCCTGGGACCCCTGCCCCTAACTGCCCCCCAGGACTCCACCCCCTACCTAAGCCTCCCTGCCTCTTGTCCCCTGACTGCCCCCTCCTGAGACCCTCCCCCCATCCTAACTGGCCCCCTAGGACTCTACCTCCTACCTGTACCCTGACTGCTCCAACCCTTATCCACACCCCCACCCCCAGACAGACCCCTGGGACTCCCACGCCCCATCCAACCACTCCCCACCCCCTGACAGCCCC